CGTAACTTAAGTGGCCTATAAGTGTGTAACTGTATTATATAATGCGGTGGCATAGCATTTTTCACAAATGCAATCTTGTCTTTTTAAGATTTGTTTAAACCTTTTATTTGTTTGCATTTAGAAAAAGTAAAAAAGTTGAGCGTTGCTCTCGCTCAGCGGTAGCTCTTGTTATCTATGAGTATACAGATCAAAAATTCACTTGTATTTGTGAGGCCCGGAATGGTCGTATATTTAAGTTACTAAATAAGTTTGAGTGTCAGTAGAGCTAAAATATAAAACATTTCTAAACAACATTTTCTCTTTATCAGATGTAAAAATCAAGAAAATACTTGGTCTCTTGAGTCCTTTGATGGTTCTCTACCAAGTTTGATTCAGTTGGCATTGTCTAAGGTTGTAGCAACACTTAACTTTCTTTGTCCAATTCTTATGGACAATCTAAGTAAAATATCTTGTATTACTTGAATAGCTTATGTTGTTAGTACATGCATATTATTTTTTTTTTATCAGCTCACCAATGAGTGTCACAAAGTGACATGGTGAGCACTTTGTGATCGTTATTCATCAGGCGTCCGTCCGTAAACTTTTACTTTAAACAACATCTCCTCATAAACCACTAAGCTAATTTCATCCAATCTTCAGAGGAATGTCCCTTTGGTAGTCACCTTTAAAATTTGTTCAAAGAATTTAATTCTATGCAAAAATCTGGTTGCCATTGCAACTAAAAGAAAAAATTTAAAATATCTTCTTTTAAGAAAGGCAGAGCTAAAGCTTAGATAATTGGCATGAAACATCTTTAAGTGAGTGTCTACAAAGTTTTTTTCAAATAAAAGCCCTGGGGTCAAAATTGGCCCAGCCCCAGGGGGTCGTTGATTTTCCTGATATGTATATAGTAAAAACTAAAAAAAATAAAGAGCTAGAGCTTAGATATTTAGCATGAAATATCTTCTAGTGAGTGTCTATCAAGTTTGTTCAAATAAAAGCCCTGGGGTCAAAGTTGGCCCCAAGGGAGTCATTGATTTTCCTTATATGTACATGTATTACAGTATTTATTAAAAAAATTTAAAAAGTCTTCTTTTAAAAAAACCAAAGAGCTAGAGCTTAGATATTTAGCAATAACATCTTATAGGTGTCTACCGAATTTGTTTAAATAAAAACCCTGGTGTCAAAATTGGCCCAAGGGGGTCATTGATTTTTAGCTCACCTGATTTGTGTCAATGTGAGGTATAGTGATGGGGCTATGTCCGGAGTCCGTCGTCGTGCGTCGTCAACAATTGGGTTGTTAACAGTCTTGCGGTCACAGTTTTGATTGGATCATCATCAAACTTTGTCAGAATGTTTGTCTCAATGAAATACAGATGGAGTTGGAAGATGGGTTATCTCGGGTCAAAAACTAGGTCACAGGAGCTAAAAATAGAAAAAGCTTGTTCACACTCTAGTGGCTGCAGTTTTCATCCAAATATTCTGGAAATTTGTCAGGAAGGTTGTTTTGATGATATCTAGGTCAAGTTCGAAGATTGGTCATGTCCGGTCAAAAACTAGGTCACAGGAACTAAAAATAGAAAAAGCTTGTTAACACTCTAGTGGCTGCAGTTTTCATCCAAATATTCTGGAAATTTGTGAGGAAGGTTGTTTTGATGATTTCTAGGTCAAGTTCGAAGATGGGTCATCTCCGGTCAAAAACTAGGCCACAGGAGCTAAAAATAGAAAAAGCTTGTTAACACTCTAGTGGCTGCAGTTTTCATCCAAATATTCTGGAAATTTGTTAGGAAGGTTGTTTTGATGATTTCTAGGTCAAGTTCGAAAATGGGTCATCTCCAGTCAAAAACTAGGTCACAGGAGCTAAAAATTGAAAAAGCTTGTTTACACTCTAGTGGCTGCAGTTTTGATTCAAATATTCTGGAAATTTGTCAGGAAGGTTGTTTTGATAATTTCTAGGTCAAGTTCGAAGATGTGTCATCTCCGGTCAAAAACTAGGCCACAGGAGCTAAAAATAGAAAAAGCTTTTTAACACTCTAGTGGCTGCAGTTTTCATCCAAATATTCTGGAAATTTGTCAGGAAGGTTGTTTTGATGATATCTAGGTCAAGTTCGAAGATGGGTCAACTCCGGTCAAAAACTAGGTCACAAGAGCTAAAAATAGATAAGGCTTGTTAACACTCTAATGGTTGCAGTTTTCATCCAAATATTCTGGAAATTTGTCAGGAAGGTTGTTTTGATGATTTCTAGGTCAAGTTTGAATATGGGTTGTGTCCGGTCAAAAATTAGGTCACATTGCCCAAATATGGAAAAACCTTTTTAACACACTAGAGGTCACATGTTTGACTCAGTTGTCATCAAACTTGGCAAGGATGCTTGTCTAAGACATTGCTTGGATGCGGTTGATGGGTCAGGTGAGCGATCCAGGGCCATCATGGCCCTCTTGTTTTTATATGTTTATAGTAAAAACTAAAGAAAGGCTTCTTTTTAAAACCCAAAGAGCTAGAGCTTAGACATTAAGCATGATACATCTTCTAGTGAGTTTGTTACAAGTTTGTTCAGATAAAAGCCCTGAGGTCAAATTCGCCCGCCCCGAGTGGTCATTGATTTACCTTACATGTATATAGTAAAAACTAAAAAAAATACCTTTAAAAAAACCCAAATAGCTAGAGCTTAGATATTTAAGTGGCATTATGCCCATCCAAGGGTATATAGTTAGTGAACGGGTGAAGATCAAAATAGGTTTTCATTTTGCCATAATCCCTTTTAATTTAATAATTAGATTCACATAAACAATAGATAACACACAGATCCAAATGAAATTTCTATAAATATCCGTTAGAATTAATGTATAATGCTTAGTTTATAAAAAGAGTGGGGCAGTCTTTTTAAATTTTAGGTAGATTTATAATTTTATCCTAAACATTTTCCAATATCAACTGTTGGTCAAACACCATTTTGACAGGCAATCTTTAGAAATATAAAGTTAATTCAGCTGAACTTGACAATGAAAATATGAGCATAATGGTACTTTAAGCATGAAAATCTTCTAGTGGGTGTCTACCAAATATGACCAACTAAAAGCCCTGGGGCCAAAATTGGCCCTCCCCGGGTCATTGATTTTCCTTATATGCTATATATAGTAAAAACAAAATTTAAAAACCCCAAATTTACAAGAATACTTACTGAAGTGAGCAATTTAGGGCCATCATGGCCCTCTTGTTAAATATTTGAATGTGATCATGATGGTTTTATTATTATACCCCGGCACAACAAAGTTGTAAGGGGGGTATACTGGAATCAGCTTGTCCGTCCGGAAGTCTCCTCGTCCGGCCGGCCGTCGGTTTTTCCTTGTCCGCCCAAAAACTTAAGATTCCTTTGACCCACAGTCTTTATATTTGACATGCAGGTTAGTCATGACTAGTAGATGATCCCTGTTGATTTTCAGGTCGCTGATTCAAAGGTCAAGGTCACAGGGGCCTTGACTAAAAAAAGCTTGTTCGCCCAATAACTTAAGATTCCTTTGACCCACAGTCTCCATATTTGGCATTGAGGTTAGTCATGACTAGTAAATGACCCCTATTGATTTTCAGGTCACTGGGTCAAAGGTTAAGGTCACAGGGGCCTTGACTAAAAAAAGCTTGTCCACCCAATAACTTAAGATTCCTTTGAGCCATAGTCTTAAAATTTGGCATGCAGGTTAGTCATGACTAGTAAATGACCTCTATTGATTTTGAGGTTGCTGGGTCAAAGGTCACAGGGGCCTTGACTTAAAAAAGCTTGTCCGCCCAATAACTTAAGATTCCTTTGACCCACGGTCTTCATATTCGACATGCATGTTAGTCATGACTAGTTGGTGACCCTTATTGATTTTGAGGTTGCTGGGTCAAAGTTCAAGGTCACAGGGGCCTTGACTAAAAAAAGCTTGTCCGCCCAATAACTTATGATTCCTTTGACCCATAGTCTTCATATTTGGCATGGAGGTTAGTCATGATTAGTAGATGACCCCTATTGATTTGAGATCTCTTGGTCAAAGGTCAAGGTCACAGGGGCCTTTACTAAAAAAAAGCTTGCCAACCCAATAACTTAAGATTCCTTTGACCCATAGTCTTAAAATTTGGCATGCAGGTAAGTCATGACTAGTAAATGATCCCTATTGATTTTTAGGTTGCTGGGTCAAAGGTCAAGGTCACAGGTGCCTTGACTTAAAAAAGCTTGTCCGCCCAATAACTTAAGATTCCTTTGACCCATAGTCTTCATATTCAGCATGCAGGTTAGTCATGACTAGTAGGTGACCCCTCTTGATTTTGAGGTTGCTGGGTCAAAGGTCAAGGTCATCGGGGCCTTGAATTAAAAAAGCTTGTCGGCCCAATAACTTATCATTCCTTTGACCCATAGTCTTCATATTTGGCATGGAGGTTAGTCATGATTAGTAGATGACCCCTATTGATTTTGAGGTTGCTGGGTCAAAGGTCAATGTCACAGGGGCCTTGACTAAAAAGCTTGTCCACCCAATAACTTAAGATTCCTTTGACCCACAGTCATCATATTTTGCATGGACGTTAGTCATGATTAGTAGATGACCCCTTTTGATTTTTAGGTCACTGGGTCAAAGGTCAAGTTCACAGGGACTTTGACTTCAAAAGTTTGTCCGCCAAATAACTTAAGAAACCTTTGACCCACAGTCTTCATATTTGGTATTGAGGTTGTTTATGAGTAGTAGATGGCCCCTATTGATTTTTAGTTGACTGTGTCAAAGGTCAAGGTCACAGGGATTTTTACTATAATAAGTTTGTGTGCTCAAATGCTTAAGAATGCCTGTCTGCAGTGTATTGATATTCACATTAATTTTGAAGCATGTAGAATACATAACTTAGCAATGCACTGGCTTAGTTACCTCAGATTTGGCAAGGAGGTTGTCCTTGAGCTCTAAATGGCCACTGTTGATTCTGACAAAGTGGTATGGGGGGGTATTCACGCCATGACAGTGGCAGTTCTAGTTATAAAAAGTTTTCTTTATTTCAGAAAATGTCCTACTCCAAAACTGAAGAAATTTGGAGGGAAAGCTACACAATTTTCTCCAAGAGCAAGGATAAGAGGATGGATGGGGTTTGTTATAAATTAGATAAAAATAATCCTAGCTTAATAAGAATAAGCCTGTAAAGCATAATCTGTTGAAATTAATTGTGAGTAGTTTGAGGTTCAACATGGGCACATACTGTTCAGTCAACAAATGTTATATGCCTAGGGCATTGATTTGGCAATTCTGTTTACACCTTTTCAATTTTGAACATTTCATTGCAATTTGAACTAGAGCTTTGTTTGATTAGTCAAAAATAATCTTTCAATATGGGATGGCCTTTATAATGATTTGGCATTAATGTGTAAGACATGATGATGATGGGTCATGCATACAGTTTAAAAGGTGATGGTTATACAATGTCAAAATACTACAGAGTAGTGGTGACATAAAAGGATCACTTTTCCGTCATCTGTCTGGCCGTCTGTCAGTCACAAAACTAGTCCGCACTTCTCAAAAACTACTGGTGCAATTTAATCCTACAGGAATGATCTGTACCAAGTCTCGTTGATCATATCATGGGCATTTTTGGTTCAATGATTTTTGTCAGAGTTGTGGCCTTTTTTACCTCACCAGAATGGAAGGTTCAGAGTGAGCTATTAGTATCAAAGGGGGATGGTCCTGCGTCCATTGTTCAGCGTCATGCGTCAACAGTCATCTTCTTCTCTGGAACTGCTGGGCAGATTTACCTCAAATTTGGTCTGTAGCATCCTTGTGACAGTGACACTTAAATTTGCTCATGTCATTTCAGTTTCAGCTTTGAAAATGGAAAAACTTTGTTATCACTCTAGAGGTTACATTTTTAACCCAAATATCCTGGACATTGATCAGAAAGGTTGTTTGAATGATTTCCAGTTTAGGTTTGAATAAGGGTCTATCTGAGGTTAAAAAAGGTCACAGCACATTAAAAGGCATATATGAAACCTTACTAACATTTGCACTATTTCATTTGCAGATATGAATGTTATGATATCAGTATATGTTCATGGCATTATATCTGCCTTTCATTTATTGCAAATAATATTAATTAAGTGCCTCATTGGCTCAATAATCAGGTTAGCCATATAGAAGGGCCATCACATGGCCCTCTAGTTTTATGTTTTCAGACATTGGTAATGATTTATTAGTCCCCTACCGGTTTAACCGGAGGGGACTTTAGGTTTACCCTCCATCCATCTGTCTGTCCGCTCTCACAGGACAGTAATTATGTGGCTAGAGGGACAATAGGTAACTGTTCTTTCTTTTTGATGTCATTCATTCCATAATGCTTTTATGTGGCTATTTTCTTTTGTGTGGCTAAAAAGAACAATAGAGAGAACAATAGAGTACTAGTAGCCACATTATTACTCTCCTGTTAGAACGTCCGTCTGTCAGTCCGTCCACAAAACTGGATCCCGCGATAACTTAAAAAGTACTGAAAATATTTTTATGAAACTTGATATATGGATAGAAAGCAGTATGGAGATTATGCATTTCTTTTTCTTTTCTTCCTGTTTTGAAAATTCTGGTTGCTATGGCAACAAATAGACTGAAAATATGGCATATTTAACACATAAACTGGATTCAGTGATAATGTAAAAAGTACTGGAAATATTTTTATGCAACTTGAAATATGGGTAGATGGCAGTCTGGAGATTATGCACATTTTTTACTATGTTGAAAATTCTGGTTGCTATGGCAACAAATAGACTGAATTTCAAGATTTCTGATTCCAGTTTTTACACTTTTTCACTGTAACTTCTTTATTTCTTAAGGTATTTACTTCAAACTTTGAATATTAGTTTCTGGTCATCAACCACATCATAATTATGTGACAAGGATTTCAACTCTAGAAAGAAATCATCAGAATTACATTACCTCCCTTGAACTTAGAATTTTCATGAAAAAAATGTTTTTTTTTTTTTTTTTTTAATAACTTCTTTATTTCTGAATGTATCTGCTTCAAACTTCATATGCATGTTTCTTATTATCACTCAATATATGTGAGAAGGTTCAATACACTGGCAAGACTATTTTCAGAATTATGCCCCTTGAACTTTTTCGAAAAATTGGTATTTTTTACTCCCAACTTCTTCATTCCTTATAGGATTTACTTTAAACTACCACATCATAATAATATGACAAGGTTTATAAATCTAGAATCCATATTTCCAGAATGATCTCCTCCTTAAACTTTGAATTTTTGTGCCCCCACTTTAGTAGCAGGCATTTAGATTTACCCTAATGTCCCTCCGTCCGTTCTCTTTTGTGTGGCACGTAACTCAAAAAGTATTTGACCTAGAGTCATGAAACTTAACAGGAATGTTGATCAGTATTTGCAGTTGTGCACCTGGGTATTTTTTCATGTGGATTTATTCAGTATTTTTTTAGAGTTATTGCCCTTGACTTAGTAAAAATTTTCAATTTTCAACTTGTGTCGCACGTAACTCAAAAAGTATTTAGCATATAGTCATGAAACTTTACAGGAATGTTGATCTGCACAGTCTATGCGAAAGACTTCTGAGTTTTACTGGACAGTAGGTCCTGTAAACTGAAAATTTTTACTGGACCAAACATGATTTTACTGGACCGAAAAAAACCTGATTGGTATAGCATTTTGAGTCATTTGAGTGTCAGCAGTCAAAAAATTTGTGTACAAAAAGAAAATTGTATTATCAACGAAGTGAAGTTATCTTTTTTCACCACAATCAAAATGTAAACATAAATATTGTTATACATGTATTCAATGGATTTTGCTATTTAAACTTTAATTTCATACAGCAAAATGAGAGGGTAAATTTCAGCAAAAGTCTGGCATATGTAAACAGAATTATATATATCGGTAATTTAGTGAAGTTGACAGATTAATTGTTCAATGATTTTGGTACCTTCACAGAATAGTTTAATTTTTGTCAACATCTTGGACGATCTTTCATAGCTAAACACCAGTTGAGCACACATGTAATTTAACATTTCTCTAAGTCTGTGGATTAAAGACGTAAATTGTTCCAATTAATTCACTGACGCTTTCATCTGTGTAAACAAACTAATAGCGGTTGACCTTTCACATCTGGGCCGCTTATGTAATTTACATGGCCGCTTATTGACTTTTACTTGTATTAGTTGTCGGATATTTTTATCTTACGTTGTTACATTAAAGTTTGCATTATGAGAATGCATAACAGTTGACAAGCATTGCACGAGCTTATATTGTGTAATGACAACATTTTGATTTGTTTTGAATGTAGGTAAATGATCGGCCTTTGCAAAATGTTGAATGTAAGGTTTTTATAAATCCTTAATTTTTACCGGACCGTCGGGCCGTCAAAACATATATTTTTATCGGATCTTCTGATTTTTTACCGGTCAGGGCTGACGGTCTTTCAGAAAGACTGTCTGCATGTGTAGTTGTGCACCTGGGTATTTTCATCTGGATTTATTTAGTATTTTATAGTTATTGCCCTTGACTTAGAAACTTTTAGCAATTTTCAACTGGTGTCGCATGTAACTCAAAAAGGATTTGACATAGAGTCATTAAACCTTACGGGAAGGTTGCTCAGCATATGTAGTTGTGCACCTTGGGTTTCGCTTGTGGATTTATTCAGTATTTGTAGAGTTATTTCCCTTGACTTAGTAAAAACCGTTTCATTATGTTTTGTTTTTGGTCCTTGAGTGCTTGAGTTAGAATCAAGCAACTTTACAGGAATAATGATCAACATCACTAAATTACAGGAATAATGATCAACATCACTGTGAAACTCTGCACCTGTGACTTTGCATGTGGAATTTTTAACCAGGTTTTCAATTTTGAAAATCCTGGTTATTAGATTGGGGTATGGCGGGCGGATGGGCGGATGGGCGGGCGGGCGTCAAACGAAATTGTGTCCGCTCTGTAACTCTTCAACCCTTTGAAGAATTTTGATGAAACTTCAGACAAATGTTTACCACATCAAGATGACGTGCAGAACGCATGTTCCGCATGGCTGGCTACAAGGTCAAGGTCACAGTGACATTAACATTGAAAATCCTGTCCGCTCTGTAACTCTTCAACCCTTTGAAGAATTTTGATGAAACTTCAGACAAATGTTTACCACATCAAGATGACGTGCAGAACGCATGTTCCGCATGGCTGGCTCCAAGATCAAGGTCACAGTGACATTAACATTGAAAATCCTGTTTACATGATTTTAACTTGATTTGGCAGTCAAAGGTCATATCATCTTTGGAGGTAATTTAAAAAAGATATGATATATTATTTCATGTCTACTTTGTAACTTGAAAATTTTAAAAAATTTGAACTTTTTGAAGAATTTTAGAGCAAGCGTATATTTCTATATGATGTTGACCTTGAATTGACTTCATCCTGAAGATCTCATTGAATCCATCTCGGAATTTAGCGCAATTTTTAATGAAAGTCGTTTTCACATGTTACTATACATGTGAATGCTATGTTTGAATAATGTTATTTTAACCAGGTTTTCCGAAGGAAAAACTGGTTATTAGATTGAGTATGTCGGCGGCGGGCGGGCGGACGGGCGTAAACAATTTCTTCTGTGCGCAACTCCTCCTACATTTCTCAACGGATTTTGACCAAACTTTCACAGAACCTTTGTCATTAAGTGCCCTGGCGCATATTATCGGGGTTTTGTGATTGGATAATATTTGACCTAATTATGGCCCTTTGTTTTTTTTTCTTATATAGAATATATAGTGAACAATTTCTTCTGTGCGCAATTCCTCCTATATTTCTGAACGGATTTTGACCAAACTTTCACAGAAGCTTTGTCATGAAGTGCCCTGGCACATATTGTCGGGGTTTTGTGATTGGATAATTTTTTACCTAATTATGGCCCTTTGTTTTTTTCCTTATAAAGAATATATAGTGAACAATTTCTTCTGTGAGCAACTCCTCCTACATTTCTCAACGGATTTTGACCAAACTTTCACAGAAGCTTTGTCATCAAGTGCCCTGGCACATATTGTCGGGGTTTTGTAATTGGATCATTTTTTACCTAATTATGGCCCTTTGTTTTTTCCTTATACAGAATAT